AATGTGACAATTGGCTGCTACAGATTACTATTATAAAAATGTAGGTAGAGTACATGAATAGTGTAAAAATAAAATCCTTAACCAGATAAATAGATTCTTTTAATGCAATATGTTTTATGGATTTCTATGAATAAAAGTTGGTCTTTTCTTTTAAGAAAAAATTAATGAGAGAAATTACAAAAACTAAATTAACCGATGTCTGTTAATTAGAGCAGCGAGAAAATGAATCTCAAAATATAATGATTACTTAGGCAAACAAATCTAATTAGCTCTAAATTATATAAACAACTCAAAGTATACTAAAAAGTATTCTAGTTTGACCTGTTCTTGACAAAGCGGACTGAACTAAGCTTATCATGATATTGCTCTGAGGATAATACTACACCTGAAGCGCATCAGAAAGTTGATTTCACATCAGTCACTTTATTACATATCACGCATTAAAAACATTAATTTCACTCCTTGAGTTAATCTATACAATAGTTCATAAGAGTAAGATTAGCTATGACAGTATATTATCCATCTGACTAGAAAATTGACTATATTATTTTAAAGAACGTTCATCAAGATTGCACTGGATAGGTTTACTAATGAGACCCACAAACATACTGTCGGTATGGCTATATGTATATAAAAACGACTTTCAATTTCAAAAGTCTCCGTGTTTAAACGATAAAACACGAATCTCAGTAAGGCATTAAATTTACATAAATGATTGCATGTGATGTTATTATTATTCGAACTGTTCTAGATGAATCATCGTCATCGCTTTATCTAGAAACACGGTTCATGTGATAACATTCCAAGATACGTTTCTGGATTGAATACAGTCATCCAAAAAGGTTCTATGGTGAAAATTTTCTTAATCAATTCCCTAAACAAATTTCTAAGCAACTATTCTATTCCTATGTGGAGAACGAAAAAACACCGTATAGCTTCATGAAAAACCACTTACTCTCCGCTACTTACCTAATGATTTAGAAAACTATCTTAGTGTCATTAATGAGATTTCGGTGAAATATTGAAAAGTCTATACTTATCGAAACTGGAAATAATCACGTCTATTTATCAAACTTCAGTTTGCTTTCACACACTCCGTTTATAATGGACTAAAATATGAGACATAAAACAGAGGACTTCTTTCTAGCAATACATTCTGTTGTCGTTACACACAAATATAGTAGCGAGTAATCACTTTAATCACACTCCACTGACACCGGTTACATTATTCAACTTACTCAATTTGCGTTAGCTAATCTCAGTTGAACTCATTTTTCAAAATTACTCCTACTCATCATATAATTCCAGTTTTTCTGTTATAAATGAAATCACTGAAATAGATTTTAATAGACATCATCTTATGACGAAAAGCTACTCGACTAAAAAAATTTCATTCAATGACATGTAGGTATATAAAGAGGAGTTAGATTACAGGATGGTAGAGTTCAATAAACATCAGAATCCGTAAGATCATCAGTTGACTGTACAGAAAGCCTGAACTCAAGTCACTACATTACTAATTTACTTCACAATTAATAATACATAAAATGAATAATTTCCAAGTTTAATTTATTCTACATGACTTGATAAACTTTTACTTAGTGACAAAAGCGGGTTGTTCGAAGGGATACTTTCATGAAGAATCGATCAATTTTGTATAAAAAGACAGTACCATGTATAAGTGTTACTAACACGATGTAAAAATCAACTAATTTTGCAGTTGAGAAATTTCTTCAGAATTTACGCATCACTTACGTAAAAACGAGTTTAGAGTTTTGATCAGCCAGGACAAAACAACTTGATAGAACGACAGATAAAGTGAGAAACATTATTTAGTAAGTTTGGTGATAAATAAGAATTGCGAGTGGGAAAATCAGCGGTACTAATCGGTACATTTTTTTAGCGAATGCTTGCAAGATATTTGATAATTGTAGTATGTAATAAAGAACAACAATTTTTCGGAATTAAAATTTGATAATATTTTATCTAAAATAAAATTGTAATTTGATTAGTTTCTTTTCTATTTCAATGGTCACAAGAAACCATATCATACCATAAAAAGATGAAATCGCAATTATATATATATATATAGTTTTATTCGTTATAGAAAGTATGACGCGATTTACATTATTCCTTGGGATGAACTTTATCAGTTTTTTATTGCGAGTAAAATTTCATGTTTTTTTCTCTTTACAAATTGATCGATCAAATTCGCATAAATTGAATACAACAATATGCAGTAATTTGTAATAATAGTGATGAAATTAGATAGATACTATTTTCGTTACGATGCAATTATGCACATTGTACGCTAGCCAAAAACAACAACAATGTAATCCAACTTGGTATTCGAGTGAATAGATGCGAAGAGTTTTTAGTTGGATTATGAAATATCTAGGATGGTAATATCATATGGATGGGAAACTGAAATATCTTTTATTGTTACATGCATATCCAACAATGTTTGGTGACAAAAAGGATGATGAACATTATTTACTTTCGACAAAAGTGAAGCAAATCCACTTAGCATTATACAGCTAAGTCATTACTTCTATTTTCAACATATTCATAAGATGCACAAAAACACAATAATGTGCAATTTGATTTTCCGAAACATTATATCACATACAATATCCTACAAAACCCTATCCTACAAATGACCTAAGTAATGCTCATTTATATTTTTCCATATCACAGCTTGAAGGTAATAGTATATGGATATGTACTGTCGGGAAAAAAATATTCTTTAAAATACAAATATGCTTTTGCTCTAAAAGTCACCTAAATAAGAGTGTGCCATGCAGTTAAAAAAAAGGATGTCAAACATCTTTCTACTAACAGAACACACATGATAGTTGGATGTTATCATTCGCATGAGTATGACCATTATCTATTCAAAAGTCTTCATGCAAAGAAAAACCCAATTAGGATGAACCCATTTGCACAATGATCAATATTCCACTACAAATTATGATTGAATTCCCTACTAGTTAACACTAAGTAAGAGATAGTATAGGTTCATTATTTAACTAATTGATTGAACACATATACACTCATGAATATAAAAGCAAAATAATACAAATAAAATATACTAGAAAGTAATAATCTCTATTTCAAGGAATACAAGAAAATCATGGAAAAATAAAGATCCTTTTTTGCGTTTTGTTTAAATCTGAAATATTCTAACAACAAAAAAAACCCATCATTGTGTAATTTGAGATGTGTATATGTGTGCAAGTACACAGTCTGTAAATGAATAAGTTATTTTCCTCTATTACATAAATATATATATGTATAGTCTGTTATATTTATCATTCAACAATGAGTGTATAGGCATTTAGAAATCCCGATAATATTAATAATCATTAATTTTAAGAGCAATAATAATCTAGTTAGTAATAATGTACACAAGCTAATAAAAGACGATACTTTTAAGTAATATTGACAGTAACCTTCCAAAAAGTCTTCTTTTATTTTACGTAATTCATAATAACAATAATAAAAAGGGAGACTAACTTTAATCATAGTAATCGTGAACACAGCAAAAACATGAGATATTATATGGAGAAAAAAAAAGTATGAAATTTCTATGCATCTCATGTAAAATCTTGATATTTCATCAAAAAAAGAAAACACAAAATAATTTTTCTCTCCTCCAATTATTTACTTTTGTTTGTTTCCTGCATATTATTATATGCACAAGTATGGATACGGCATTTTAAAAAAGAAGGGAATAAACATACACGAGTACACCACAGATTAGAAAGCTTAACAGTAATAATCAATAACAGTAGTATTAATAAATAATAGTAATAATAATAATTGTCATAGTCACAATCTGCATCTATGAATGATGAGAAATCTGTTTATATATATAAGAGAGAAAGAGAAATATATTGTATATGCATAGAAGTGCATGTACAGTCAATAGGCATTTATTCATTTATACATTCATAAAAGAGAAAAAGAAATAGTGAATAATTAAACTGAAAATTTCAATTGAAAGTGAACAATAATAATAGAAGTTAGTTTGGCGCTTATGGGCAAATAAAAAGCAAAGAAATCAAAGAGTAAACAAAACAATAATAACAATGAAAATTTTAATAAACAAAATTCAATACAACCCAACATAATAATAATAATAATCACACCAAAAACAAAATATATCAAGGGGAAAACAAACCAAAAGCAAACTCTTTGAATAACATTGATAATAATATTGTCAAAAGCACTATTTTATTGAAATTTCATTTATAAATAAATGAATTACATCAATTTATAGATAAATAATAATATAATGGGAGGTTGAGGAGAGGCTAGGCAAAGCAAGAAAATTTAACTAAAAATAAAAAATATTTTATTCATGATAATACAATATGAATATTATGCCTTTTTTTTTCTTTATCATCAAATAGTATGCACTAGTGTGAATAGAACAAGAGCACAGACAAACTAATCATTTAAAGGAAACAAAAGATAATGTATCGTATGTAATGTAACAGGTAGTAATAAATGAGAAAAGAAAACGAAAAACAAAACGGAATAATCTAACATCTGAAGTGTAAATAATCTGTGTACACTATAATCTTTGTTAATCTAGATTTACATTCAATAAGTATCTATGTAGAATATTCCAGTTAATTGTTTTGAACATTATTTATTTACTCTGATTTGATTTTTTTTAATAAAAAAAGAGGGGAACGCCAATAAACATCAAAAATAATGTAACAAAACAAAAAATAACTCCAAATGTGAAATGAAAATAATTTAAGAGGTGAAATAAGGCAACAATTGACGGATATACACACACACACACGCAGAGACAGAGGAGGTGTAAGGAGATGGGGAAAATCTTCAATATTGAATAGTATCATCGCTAACCTGCAATGATAATAATAATGGTAGTAACGAGCTAGAGATTCATTCAGAACAGTGACATTTTCCTCTACCAAATAGAAATAAGTTGAACAGAAATAAACAAAACAGAAGTAGGATGATGATCAGTGGTTCTGCAGGAAAACACTTGACTGTGGAGTTCTTGGTAGATTATGTGGATAGCACTCATATGCAGAATTAGGCTGTAAAGTAAATGAAAAAAGGTTGGATTTGAGATGGAAAAGGTTTTTACATATCTTGTACATATATGATACTGAAAATCATAGTCAAGACAAAAGTATCGAATAAATGCCTTTAAGATAATTAAATATAAAGAAACGTGAATGCAAATTGAGTGAAATGGGAAATTTCTCATGTGCTTTAGTGGATGTGAAAATAAAATTGTTGATGAATATTAAGTTGAATCAAACCTAGACTTGCCAAATTATTTTGAAATTTCAGAAATTTCCAACAAATTAATAAGGAAATCATCGTCGAAATCGTTATGTAGATTTTCGCAAATATCACTCAGAGAGTAAATGAAAATACATTCAAAAGAATGTACAAGGTTGGACAGGAAGTTTATCAGTCACAGGAGTTAAGGTTTGTGAATGTGGCTTGTCAGGGCTGAGAATGTTCAAAAACCTCCTGTGTTTCATCACAGTTGACTCTATAGGATGCCTCAGATTTCGTGATATCACTTTATTATCAATCCTGAGGTCCAGATATGTGTGTTTAGTAGTAGTGACTAAGTTAACTAGGATCACCATTTTGAACAACTGTGCTGTAGCCATGCTTTAAGAAGTTTATTCCAATGGCTTCCGTTTTATCTTGATAAAACAGTGGTATTGTTACTCCTTATACTTTGCCGACACAACTGCTTATCTGTTCCTATATACCTGGACTAGGATTGACTAGGAGTCCTAGTAATCCCTTAATTAGGTAATTACAGATGCTACACCTCAGAATCAAAAGTAATCTCAACCCTGTTGTAATTTTTCATAACATTCTTCATAAAAAACGAATTTTCTTAGATTAAAGAAATCTTGATTGTATATTTTGCTTAATTGGACTTAATTCTCTATTAGATACTGTTTTTTTATTATAGATTATACAACCTTTTCCTCTTATATTTCTTCTCAATACATTTATTTCACTTTGTCTGAATCATCGTTTTTGACCCCTGTTATATCAGAATGTATAAGTTATAGTCACTAAATAAATGAAATGTGCTAAATCCACGTATTTACAACTTTTTTATGATAGTTTTATTATGTTTAAACCTTGTCCAGAAAATACAAAGATTATTATTCAAAATCATATAGCTTGAATTCGATAGTGACCCCGTCGTCACTGGAATTACAACCTATATTTGTGTAGTTTTGGAGCACACAATGAAAAATCCAGGAATCAGTATGAAAGAATTCAAACAGACAGTATTCTCTTAGTGGACAAAAAAGTAAACCAGTGACTTGGAAATAAACTACAGTCAAAGAGTAGAAATAAAACATTATGGTATTCAGCAGCACCATAAATAAGAACTTCAAAGGATTTCCAAAAACTGGCAAACGACAGCAAACTATTCCAGATTTTACTGTGCACTGGAAATATCATCTAAATAAATAACCATATGAAGAATGCAAGATAAATGAACACAAGTTGTACATATTTTCATATCAAATTAACGTACTCTACTATCAAAGCTTCCATCTTGTGACGCTACTTCTTCCTCAATCTTCTCTGATGTTGGATGATCAGTAAAGCTTGATCGAGACGAGCATCCTGGACGTCGAGTATCTGATTTGTTACATAATGAACCACAATCATCTGTTCTTTCTTCTTCTTCACCATGTTCTCTTTTTATATTGACATTGTGTCTTGATTGGACTGGGTGTAATTTGGAACCGCTGAAATCAAGATCAGCTGGAGTTTCATTTGCATCATTAACTCATGTAAATATCGACTATCACTTGCATTTGTATGTGCAGGATGCATTGAGTGTCGTGAAACAGATGTGGACAAATTCGGCGTATTTCCACTACTATTAGAACCACGTTGATTTGCTTCATTTAATAAAAGCCATGATTGATAAACAGCTTCAAGTGACTGTAAATTTCTCAATGAATTGGCAGATGAGGAGTGATGTAACTGTTCACTAGATTTTAGATCACCACTAGGTTCCGAGGTCATTTTCTCAAGGCTCTTTACATTCATTTAATTAAAACAAAAAGTACAGATAAATTAAAAACAATCTCACCCATTTTTTACTCAATCTATTTGTTTATTTATCTGGAAATTTAATCGTTAAAATAAGCCTTCATTTGAGCAATAAATAAAAATACAATGAGCCTAAAATGATGACATAGTTTGAAATTCCGAAAACCGGGTTACTGAAAATCAATAAGTAACGTGCAGAATAGATAGCTAGCAAGCATACAACTATCTGTGCCTATATATATATATATATATATATATATATATATATATATATATATATATATATATATATATATATATATATATATATATATATATATATATATATATATACGGATAGGAAGTGAATCTAAGCAATCATGAAATAACGGACAAACATTGGGTAAATGAAGTATCTGACTTGTAGATGCTAAGCTAGCATACATGAGTGTCATGATAACTAGGTTAACAGAAAAAGTATACACAAGTGAATTTTATATAAAAGGGAATGAGAAACAAACTTTAAATAGTAACAACGTGACCAAAAATTACAACACTGGCAAATTATTGGACCACAATGGGATAGAAAACTCAGACAATGTCCAAATTGAGGACATTCTATTCAATCAACAGTAATAATACCAGTAAATCAAAAGTATAAAAATGAACAGAAACGAAAATATATTGTGGGTAATATTCTCTGTTCATCTACGCAAACACTCAGAAATCTAATTCGTATAATATTCTACAGCAAAGAACTATGAGAAATTGCACAAGGAAAGGTTTTTTGTCAACTAGTTCCGAAGAAATATGAAGAAAAAAAATCAACGAAGTATTTTGCCTAATTTCTGTGTAAATTTTATTGATACATAGTCAGCGATGTCTTTAAACTGGTCAACTCGTTTCTCTTTTTAAAAAAGATTACTAAATCTTATGGTTGACGCAACGTATCAGCAAAAACATATACGAAAGTGAAAATAAAATAAGTTCCGTTATGTGGTGTAAAACACGAGACATGAGTAGTAGAATTAGGAGGATAAAAAGTATCAAGGTTGTCTAATGCCACGAAGCATAAGTAAAGCAAACTTTGTTTTTTTTTTAGGGACCTACATAAGAAGCTATAGACTTCTTATAACTAGAACACAGATTTGAGTGCACAAATGATCTCCAATACAGCTGACCACATTGACTCACATTCATTCATCTTACATGATTGGTTTTACAAATTTGATTCAATTCACCAGTATAGTTGATAATTTAGTTACTTGCAATCCTATCACATCTTTCTCGTGATATTTTTTTAAAAGAGAAATAACTTGGATGAGATTTTAATACTACTGTATTTCATTTTAATAACTCTATAGGTAGTCAGTCACAAAGCATATCATATTCACGAAAAACTAACAATGATAAAATGGATATGTTAATATTTCAACGAAGAATAAATAAATGCTAATATATATATATATATATTCGTATTCCTTTTATCATAAACTTTCATTTGACCTATTCGCTACTGTTATAGATTGTACCATTCTTAACTTATTCTCAACTTATTAGTTACAGCATACATATTCACAGCTACTTTTGGCTTGAACTTGTATGGTAATTATCTTCTATTTTATGGTATGAAGCAGTCTGGTCTGCTTTTATATGAACCACGTATGTCTGAAATATATCATTCATACAGAGGAGGCTGATATTTGTGTTCTGGACTGAACGGGTTGGGCTAGGCGAGAGGTTGTTACACAAAGGACCAATAAGGACTCAAAGATTACTCAAGGCTGCTCGTACTGGTTAACGAATCATTAGCTAAGTACAGAGAAAAGGTCATATAAGTCGGTGTTCTGAATGGCGATTTCGTCACGTGATAATTGACAGAGGCATAAGTTATAATAGGATCAGTCAGTCAGCTACAACGTAGGATCAGGCACATATGTGCATTGGTCCAGGTTGCCATACCGCATCAGCACAACAAGATGAACACCGGATTCATAGCAGTGGTTATGTCAAAGGTGGTAATATATAAGAGAAAGATTGCATATAGAGATATAATACAAGAAGAAAGAATTGGTTCGTAGAAAGAAAGATATGAAGCGATTTTAATCTCTTAGTTTAAGGGAAGACAGGGAGTGTATACACCGACGCCATTGTGATCGATTCTGAGCCATGTCACCAAGAGTCTCCAACCATTGGTTACGATAGTCACGCGGACCCCAACCAAGTAGTCTGCATCTACCAACATGGCTCAGACTACAAGTTAGTGACTTCAAGCACTGATGCCACGTTTTGGTTTGGACGCCCCTAACTTTCTTCCAACCATATCCAATACCGGATAGCATTGCACGTCGTGGTAATCGGTGTTCAGGCATATGTAACACGTGGCTCAACCATCTCAGTCGATGAAGATTCATAACCTCATCAACTGATTTACCATCGTTTCCTAATACCCTGCGTCTAACCTCACTATTACTTACCCCGTGTTCCCAACAGACGCCAGCAATATTTCTAAGGCATCTGTGATCAAATACTAATAGCTTACGAGTGTCTTCTACTCTTAATGGCCATGTTTCGCTGCCGTTAAGTAAAACAGAACGGACTGCCACGCAGTATACTCGTCCTTTTATTGATAGACGGATATCTCGCATTCGCCACAGGTGACGTAAGTTGGCAAAAGCCAAACGAGCTTTTCGAATCCGTGCTGAGATTTCGTCCGATACCAACCCATTAGGGCTGATCAGACTTCCAAGATATGTGAAGTTGTCAACGCGTTCGACTACTTCACTCCCTATCCTTAGTTCAGGTGTTAACGCAGACCAGTCCTGAAGCAACAACTTGTATTTCGAGGAAGAGAAGCGCATTCCAAACATCCTGGCATTATTGCTCAGTGCTACCAGAAGACTCTGCATTTTGTCAGCGTCTTCACCAAACAGGACTATGTCATCTGCGTATTCTAAGTCGATAAGTAAACTTCCTGGATGGAGATTAATACCCGAGAACTCAGTCGACGAGAACGTTATTTCCATCAGTAGATCTATGATGAAGTTAAACAAAAATGGGGAAAGTGGACATCCTTGACGGACACCACTTGAGGTTGCAAAAGTAGGTGACAGTTCTCCATAAGCCCTGACTCGACTAGTAGTGTTCGAGTAAAGAGCCTTCACAAGGTTTATGTACTTCTGGGGTACGCCTTTCAATGACAGACACTGCCACAGAATCTCGCGGTCTACAGAGTAAAATGCTGCTTTTAAGTCAAGAAAGACCACCATTGTCGGACGCCGATAAGTATGCCTGTGTTCTAGAACCTGACGAATGGTGAATATGTGGTCGATGAAGCCACGACCAGGTCTAAAGCCAGCTTGGTTCTCTCGTGTTTGCAGTTCACGAGTCTTAGTTAGGCGTCTGATAATTATCGAGGCTAGTATTTTAGATACTATATTAGTTAAACTAATCCCTCTGTGGTAGGATACGAATGTAATACAACATAATAAAATAATGTCTTATAGAAATATAAATCCCTTGAACGAAACTAAACTAAATAGATGATGAACGATTCTATTCGGAAGGAAAAAGACAAAATCTTACCTCAATACGTTGTAAAAGGAGGGGAATTAGTTGGCGTGCTATCGTATTTTCTTGTTTAAGACTTTCCATTCTTGAAACAGCTTCACGTAACTCCATAATGTAACTAACTGAAAGTCGGAGCACACTACCTTTATTTCGTCGACCATCTCTATAGGAAATGGATAGTTTTTGAAAACATAGTACATCATTCAAAAATGTTTTAAGACCAATATTGAAAAGCGACTTGTCAAACAAGAGAAAAAACAAGGTAGTTCTTATCATAAACTCAAAACTAACTGGAGAAAAAATGGAAAACTCAAGAGTACTTGTTAGTTGTTTCAGCTTAAATATCCATTCGACTAAAAAATTTACAGCGTAGCAATTTAACCCTAATAGACAGATATCCGGAAATCTGGTCGTTTTTAGTCGGCTGATGATTCCTGTTATGAACTGAGATTAGATGAAATTTCGATTGGAAACAGAAAGGGTAAAACATCAATCGTATCTAATTTCAAAATATTCCTATATAATACGAAATCCTATTGGAACAGATTTAATGAAACAAAAGTTACACTACAACCAGTGTATCAGATCCTAATAATTAATATTTTTAATATAGAAACCGATCGAATGTAGGCAGATTGTATCGCAGTACGATATGTAAGGAAACTGCCTTTACCATCAAGCAAGTTTTAAATTTTCACCTTAAGAAGTGTCAATTAGCAATAGGTTATTAAATTTAAGGATACTATTGACGATAACCAGTACTCAATCCGTTCACGAAGAGGATTCCGTCATCACTAGACATGATAACGAGGTACAAAGTTGCTAGGTTTTGTTTGTATAATGACGAAATTATCCTATTTTTTTTGGATTTCATAACTGACTCATTATCTACTGAAAGAATTATTCTTATATACACCACGGAGAACCACGTTACGCGAAACTTGGAAATAAAGAATGTTGTCACTTGTATTAGGTTAGAATCCATCATCACATAGAGATAAGACTTTTAGAAATATAAGTAGACTGAAGAATGAAAGTTACAAATTCATAAGAACAACTGCATTCTAAAATATCAAAGATGATAGTGATTACAAGGAAAAGCCTAAAATAACAAATAACTGACTTACACATCCCGATACAGTTCCGGTGGGAGTAAGCTACTGAGATAGACGATTTGTGAGTTAATATAATCTCTTCGCTTCCGTTCAACTAGGCATTGAAAAATGATGAAAAAAGACATGATAACTTAGATTTCTAAAGAATAGATAGATTAACTTCAAAAAACAGCAGATTCAATAGGTAAAGTTATTATTTAACGAAATGAATTTATCCAGTCAATAAGAAAACTGGAAAAATGAATCCACATATACTTATGATCAAACGAACTTTGATAATTCACAAACAAAACACTTAAAATAGGTTAACAAATACTGTTTTACAGATCATAACATCAATTGATTTATAAGCTAGGTTGAAAGTAAGAACTGCTTGTTCAAAGACCTTAAAGTGAGCTCTTCAATGAGATCAAAGAATACCAACACGCAAATACCAATGTACTCTTGAAATTACTGAATGAAGGATCGCAAAATTGTAACATACTGTTATAAAATATGGAAATAATCAACTTTATTTTCAACTCAACAGAATTATTAAAAGTCAGATAATCGAGTGAATGCACATGTTTACTCAGTCATAATTCATAAAGGATTCTGCAGGTCATCGTAATTCGCCACAATGACCATCAATACAATCAGAAGAAATGAACAAGAGAAAATACAAAATAGTGTCATTAAAAGTGAATACTAAGCACACAAAATGTAGCTTGGAAAGAACGAATGAAACGGGGGATAAATCGTAAAGCTTCAGAAATATAGTGGCTATGGCACCACAGATTATGATCATCTTGTAGACATAAAATAAGGACCCCAAACATGACGAAACGATGGATTACAGTAAATAATTGATTGATGGACTGATGCTATATATCAATAAGAATTTACATTTCTAAGTGATGGGTTGAAATTTAAACTTGACAGAAGTACTAAACAACTAAACAAACCAAATCATTTTTAGGAGTTTTAACTGGGTTTGTTGGTATTAAGCACATATAACTCAATAAAAATATGGATAGATTTCTAACAACTCATGTATACTAACGTTTTACAACAAATTAATTTTTATTTCAGTCATTTAACATTATTTCGTCAACATGTGGTGTATTGATATGAAAAAATGGGGTCTATTTATTGATATGTTGATGAAAACAATTATGAGTACCAGTGGAATCGATTTACTGCACTATATTTTGCATGTTGTAAAAATAACATGCCAACGTTCACGCGCAATCTTGTAAACAGAATAACAGAAAAAATAACAAGCCAATGAGCCATAGAGATCATCCTAGTATGTGCACAAATATTATGAAAATAATCACTGATTGGAGACCTGAAATTTCACGTTTACAAAAATTCTTATTTTGCATTTTATGACGGATAATGAAAACGTAAATAACAAATACAACCAACCTTTTAAAAATATTAGCTTCTTGCCAATTTCACAGAAAAAAAAGACTAAATTATATTTTAATAGCTTGCTTAAAGTCGATTGATGAGGAGTCTGATGGAAAGTTAAAATTCATAAAAATTAGGTTTAATCTAAGAATCGCTTGACAACAAAACATAGTTGTCATCTAAATAAACAAGTTGATCAAATTATATATAAAATCACATACAGTATTTTTCTCTGTAGAATAACCATGTATATTTATTTTGAAGGTAAATTAATTATATAATACAAAATTACTAGCATCAATATTAGTAACAGTACACTGGTATATAATTAAAAAGGAAATTTACGTAAAGCTGGCTTTGAAATATATATATATATATATATATATATATATATACTAATCTCCAAAAGAACCTTTTACCGACGAAAACAATCTAAGCTAGGAATTTTCGTTTTAGCGGGCCGTAAAACCAAACTGATCCACCTCATTACTAAGGAAATCAGAACGAGAAAAAAACGAAAAAATCAGCAACTTCAAAACAATAGTAAACTGACTTCTGTTATGACTCTCCTTTTTTGAACGTTGTTTTTGACTGACAGCTTTAGCAGGATCTTGAACTGGGTGATTAGACAATACTGGAGGTGTACTAAATAGATTCGAACTTGAAGAGCTATTTGGAGAACAAAAGGCTTGATGGGGTGCTGAACTAGAAGTGGTAGTGGATGAAAGTGAAGGTGCATAGATTGGTACTGGAGCAGTAGTTGGGGAATGAGAATTGGGTAAAAGCATTCCTAAACGTATATTCTGTACATCGGAAGGACAGCATCCAGATTGAGTGGCAGGACTTAATACGATAGAACGAGATTTATTTGATGCAGAGGAGCTGGAATAATTGGTAGAATATGCATAGTGTGAATTAGTTTTCTGATGGCAATCCATTAAATCAGTAGTTGTAGGCATTGAACTAGCAGGAGAAGAGCTAACCATACCGCTATAAGTAGCAGTTGAACCTGGGATCAATGGAATTAAATGTGCGGGTTGTCCGTGAAAGGAAGAAGCTTGTGGTTGGTTGTGAACTGATGTGCTTCCAAAGGGCTGCCATGCGAAAACTGAATGTGGAGCCATATTAGGTGTTCCTTTACTGATTGGAGCACTTGAACTGCCTTCTAAAGATGGCAGACGTTGTCCATAGTCAAACTAGAAAATCGAGAGAAAAATGGGACGATAAATACTAGGAAATGCAAAAAAGTAAACTAACAGCAGAAGGGCGACACTCAAGGGAAGTTAGAAAAGTAAATAGACTACCCTAAACAAACATTCTATAGACGAACACAATGCAAAAACCGGTACAACAATACAGTGTTTGAGAGTTACAAGAAAGACTGAATTACCTTTAATACATAGTATCTAGTATTTTCGCTATGACTTACTAGAGTCAAGAAACATTCGTAAACCCAAGGACGGGATACATTATGGAAATAAAAAGGATAGCAAAATCGAACTACAACAGCTAAATATCGAACACTTGATATAAATCCTCAACGGTAATCTATATCTAGAGTAATTCGTTCCACATTCAAAGACTAAGTAGTTCGAACTGAGTGAAAACAGGTAATTTAGAAAAATCTGACAGTATATATAACACATGATAAAAAATATATTGTTGAGAAGTCACTATTTTACAGAAGACTAGATGGTATTTCCTTTATCCGGGTAGTGGATAATGAAAAATATCAATATGAATGAGGAACTCGAAACATGAGATGGCGTTATCATTAATTCAAGACTAACAAAAGATCTACTTGCCTTCTAATAACCGAACAGTGAAGTAGAATTGATATTTAAAGCATGAAAATACAATCTTGCTCTCTAAAGGTAAAATGGATATATGAAATAATTACTTAATAATTGAAAGAAAAATATCAATGAACTACAGAATCAGAGAAATGATAGATATAAACTACCTCATTTACCGGGTACTTGGGCATGAGCAACATTTTAAGTGTGAGGGTTGATGATATCGCTCGGTTGCCGAAACAAAAGTAAGCTGAAGTGTGAACCTATAAATTGGTAGCTGGAAGTTGAACACCTTAACCATCAGGGAACATATAGAATTAAACACAACCTTATGTGAAGTAAGGAAATCGTAAGGTTACCTATTACGAATGATGGGATGGTGAATGATTTTAGTAATGTTAAGTCCCCTCAACTGGGTGCTTCTCTTGGGAGGTTTTCTCTGTTATCTCGGTGACATTATCAACCACATTTATGCACTATACCACTGATTTTTACGAAGTTGATATCTCAAAAGCCAAAACGTTCTACGGAAGCTGATAAGGCGCTTACTAATTAAAAAATACATAGCAAGTGAATTGAGATAAACACATTATTAGTAGATAAACAAGATGTTGAATGTACTTTTACGGTCCCTTAAGTCAAACGTTACTGGTTCTAAACTGCGAAACCGTAAATTCAAACTGTGACAGACTTGTTGAAGATTTATAGTGTCAAGAAAAGTGGGTCCAATGTTTGGGTGGTTAGCTTTCCCCCATTATTTTCCAGGCCCAAACCCGTTCTACCTACTTTGATTTAGGTAACCAAGTAGCACCACTACCCCTCACAGTTAGAGTGTAACTTAGAGCTAAGCCTGATAAGTTAATAGAAAAAAGCTAGGTATCATAGAAGTGTAGCTGATAACTAGGTCCAATACATTGTGAAATGATAGATATAAATACACAATAGTTACATTACTTAGAAATAATCATATTATAATTAAGATGTTTCCATTGCATGAATATATGAGAAATTCGACAGTATTAATGAGAATAAATAATATAAATCATTTCAATAATTCGAATTCATAAAGAAACTTCCATAATTCAGTAGAAACCACGAAGTCAAATTTATCTAACAAGAAAACTACTGATACAACAATCAAAGTGAGTTTTAAATGCATACTGATCGTACGTTGATAAGCATAAGCTTAAGGGATGTTTAGTTGTCAGGTAGATCACGGATAACACAAAATGATAACTGATATTTTAGAGTTTTTAAATCAAATCAATATGGGAGCTAAGTGTTTTTAAAAAATATATAACTATCATAATTGAGTAAACGTTTGACGAGATATTCTACAATCTGGCTTCTTAATATAAATTAGTGAAGTAGAGCAAAGAATATCATGCATAGTTTCAAATTTAAAATGGACTATTACAAAAGATTCTAATGAAAAGTAATATTAAGTTTTTGAATGACTTCAAAACCTACATTTTATGAGCGAATTTAAATACATGCTCATAATTAACAATAGACGATGTAAGATGACTACGAAATCACATCAAAAACCATGAGAAAAATAAAACAAAAGAAAGCGAAATGAAGAAATAACAATTTGAAAAGAAAATTACATGCTGGTAATTAAAATTAGATTAAACTAATTCGATGGGTTTTTCTTTTCTTAAAGTACACTATTTAAGTGCATACGCGTAGTGTGTGTTTGCATTTAATTTTGTGTGCACATACGCGCATAAATTGGCTTGTATATATGCATATATGTGCAAAAGACTATTGATTAATTTGAACAGTAGTAAATTGTAATAATAATAATAATAATAATAATAATAATAATAATAAATAATAATAGTGCAAATATATTTACTACTGACAATAAAAAAGGATTTTTCTCATTCAAAAAGACTATAACATATACTTTGAAAAAACACAATTCGTATCTTTTTTCTACAACGATAGAAAAGATAATTATCATAATTAGTAAATTAGTACTTGTATATATATATATATATATATATATATATATATATATATATATATATATATATATATATATATATAATTCAAAAATTGGCAGTTATCATCTCCTCCATCATCATTTTATGAATCATATGAGCTATGTTTTAAAATTAAATATCACCAGAGAAATAAAAAAGAGAAAAAGCATAGAGTATATTATGAAAGACAAAAAAAGAGAAGAGTAAGAAAAGATAAAGTAGAAGAAAATCAGGAAGAAAAGGGGAAGTAGTAATGGTAAATTATTTCAGTATGATGATGAACAGATATTGAGCGAGAAAAACGTTGATGAATCCAGTTTTTTTATATTGAATCATAAGTGATAAAATTAAAATTATATAATTATAAGGAAGAAAAATTAAATCTTGGAATTAATCATGGTATATGCAGATAGATTTACACAGGTCTTATTAATTTTAATTAGTGCCCCCAAATGCCCTGATATGGCCGAGAGTGGGGTGGGGCCCGCCCTCCCTCTCGAAATGCTCTCACACGGCCACGCGTATACAGCCTCTGCCAAGAAAGTCTTACTCATTGCCTTCTCGTGGCGGGGGTGTTTTTTATGAAATTGAGAGGACGAAAAGCGAATTTTCAGCGCTTTAACCGGATTCCAAAACAATGGTGCACATGGACTCAAGGATTTTGAGGGGTTAAATGGCGTATGAACCAATTATTGGTCACCGGCTACCATAAGACTGCATCTCCTCACGATGCTCCATTGCCTTGTGGGTCAGACCAACGCTCGGGGTGTGGCCCCCTAAGAAAACCGCTTGCTTCAGTCTGAGCACCCGGACAGTATCCCAGCCCTCACACAAATCGAATGATTTATATGGTGCCTCCTTGTACCAATGTTTATGTGATTAAATAAATAAATAAATAAATTTTAATTAGTACTACATACATTTACGCGTATAATTGAAACCGGTAATTACAGTTTGTGAAAAATTATCGTGATGTATTAGTTATTCGAATTCTAAGATTTTAAAGGAATCCGACACTAGACTGAGATGTATAACACATGCTCCAGACACTACAGTAGATTTAGAGTGGACTACAACACTGTTGTCTTTATTACAAATATCATTAACTTAAACATATCACAACTTCTACAAAAGCTATACGGACTAAAAAACGGCTCAATTTTTTTAAATTACATTATTTGTGGGACAGATCTAATTTTATATACTAACCGTACAGGAAGTATATAGGTTAGGTTCATTTTCATAGCTTTTCGACGGTTTCTCTTAACTAAATACTATGAACAAACACAGTAGAAGTACCCCACGAATAATGATTTGAGTAAAAAGTATGCAGAGTCGGATAATGGTGGAACTAACAATAATTAACAAACATTTTAACATATCATCAGATTGATTTCTATGATGAGACCGAACTTTAACGAAACTAATAATAAAAGCATTGAAATTATTTCCGATTGATAAATTGGAACTTTAAGTCAAGCGGTTACGTGTATAAATTCAAACCAATTGTTAGGAGAACTAAAACAGTTGATTAACACAATTTTTTTATCTCATACGGGTTTATGCAGAACGGATAAGCTATTCCATATGAAATACCAATTGCTCTTAGGAATATACTTTCCAAGATTCTGCAATCGACAGGTACTTGATTTTGTAATGCTCATTTTTCCAAAAGAGTTAAAGAGAACGAAAGGACAGGCTAAAAACTGGATCTTCACTACATGAGGATATCAGTCTTTCAGAGGTTAATCCATACTTTGAAGTCGGCATTAACAAAGATTTGATCAGAACACGAATTTTATTTTTTTTTATTCAGTTTCCATCAGCTGCTTACAACCTAGAATATTTTAGAATTAAAATTATCGTAAAAGATAGTGTATTTATACTATTGAAATGGATTAGATGTCACTATGTATCATCATGATGGAGTGATGACTAGAACAGAAGTAATCAGATTGACAAAACATAGAAAATCTTGCAAACAAGTACAAGTTGAAAGAGAATTGCAGAACATTAGAATAGCAATTTAAGTTTATAGAGCTAAAACATCATTTGATTAAACCATGAAGTAGATTATATATATTCTCATTTAACTAATTTCACTGGTATATGTATCTTAACTTTTGCGATAATTTTTATTCTACAATACTACAGGTTGTGAGTCGAAACGAGAACGTAACAAAACAAAATAAATCCACGTTATTCTGCTCCAAAATATTTTCTATAAGCGACTAACAGGTTGATTGAGTGTACCGAGAACAATGTATACCAAACTTTCTTATGTACACAGTTTCTTAGCACGGAATAAAATGATTCAACTTTCACATTCATTTGAATATAAAATATCAACCTAAATAAGAACAGAATAAAATACACATACTGGTCAGGACATGAGATTGTATAGTTCTA